GGCTGTTGCCTGGCCCATGAAGGAATGCCTCTTAAAATGATTGTATTTGACCTTCACCATGTCTGATGTCAGAACTTGACTTCAAGGGAATTTTGCTCTTTGAATGTTTCAATTTTGGATTCCAATAAAGATGAGAGATGTCTCCCTTGTACTGATTCATAGAAGATCTTTACACATAGAATTAACATGAGGTAAGACCATAAGAGATGCAGGAAAAAAGGGGTATAGGGGAGACAACCTATTTTTCTCCAAGTATTCGGAGGGACAAGGAGAAAATGGGCAGGTTTATCAAAATACCTCAAATTTCTACTTGAACTTGTTCCAGACTTTTTCTCATCTCTCTTTCCAGCAACAGTGACCTATCCACATGTGCTATTTTTTGTGTAATAATAACAGAAGTTCTGGGCAAACTACAAAATTCATGAGCTGTCATCACCTGAAGTAACACAGAAAAACATCTACATCTTAGGTGGATAAAACTAAGAGAGAGGAATTATTGTAATGTTTCTCATGTGATACGTTAGACAGGTACATTTTTTTCCAGTGAAATTCTACATGAAATACATAAAGAGGTCATTCTTTTTTTCCTCTCTGTGTTGGCAGTAAGAAAGAAATTCAAAGATATAAAGCAATCTTGAAACTGTATGTTCCATTTCATACCTTTTATCAATGATGTTTTCACATAAACTCAGATATTACCACCTTTTTTGAACAGTAGGCCAAATCAAGAACCAGAAGGTAGTAACTCATCTTCAAATGACAAGGCAGTAAGAGATTCCCCAAGCAAGAGTCCTCTATGCTAAAGTTGTCAGTACCGATAAGCCTATAAAAGTAAAGATGTTGAGCTGAGTGGGTGGCTCACGCCTGTAATTCTAGGTACTCGGAAAGCTGAAATCTGGAGGATCACAGTCCGAGGCCAGCCAGGGCAAAAAAAGTTTGTAAGACTCTACCTCAACCAATAGCTGGGTGCAGTGGTATATACCTGTCATCCCAGCTACAGGGGAAAGAGTAAAACAGAAGGATCATGGTCCAAACCAGCCTGGGCAAAAAGCAAGATATAATCTCCAAAATAACTAACCCTCTTCCCTTCCCAAAAAAAGGATGGAGGTGTGGTTCAACTGGTAGAGCTCCTAGTAAGCACAAAGCCCTGTGTTCAAACCCCAATACAACAAAAATAAACAAAAATATCTTTTTAAAAAGATTTCAAATCTAAATAGGGTATCTGTATTATGCAAAAGGACTCTGAAAATTTCCAGATGAGTCAAGTGAAAATTAAAATGTTATCCTAACGTTAATGAACTCCAGTCATGACAATATCCTAAAATCAAACTATCCACAACTTAAAACTTCATGGAACTCTCTGCAGTGATTGGGGTGGGATGCCATCAGAATTATGGGTCACTGACAAAACCCCACCACATTGACTAAGGAATAGAACACAATAAACCAGTTAAGCAAATGGCCACTCCTCTGCCTGGCCATTCCCCAAACCACAGTCCACCTGGCTCATATTCCCTCCTCCCCAAGACTTTCCAGAGGCAGGATCACCAGACTCACTGTGAATGCTACCCAGAAGGCTTGCTGAGACACTTCAGCTCAACACAAATGCAGGACAACAAAAAATGTCTTCCCAACCCCTGAACAGTTCTGCTCTTGACTCAAGCTAAGATCCACTCAAAACCCAGGCTGAACGTCAGCAGGGGTGGCAAACCTTTTCCATAAAGGGCCAGATACTAATTTCCTAGCACTTTCAGTCAAAAGTGTCTGTCAAAAATGCTTAGCACAAAAGCACCACAGACAATAGGCAAAGTAATGGATGTGGTTGTGTTCCAATAAAACTTTATTTATAAATAAAAACACTCCTGGGTAGTATGCCCACCTCTGAACTGAAGAGTAAGCTTAACCCTCATTCCCAAACCCCAAATGGCAGAATCTTATAAATTTGGCTGAACAAATCTCACTTCTTTAGCTCTTGGTGTTATCTAATAATCACTGGGAATTCCAGTAGTAGCAAAGCCAAAGGCAGCAAAACAAGTAATAGTGTCAAAAACAATTAGGTACTTACTTCATGGCAGAGATTATGTTAAAAACTTTCACACTCATCATCTCACTTCATTCCCACAACACTTCATGAAGAAAATGCTATTACTTATTCCCATTTCCCAGATGGAGAAAGTGAGGCTCCAAGCAATTAAGGGTCCTGACATAATCACAACTTATTAAACTGCTACTGAAACTATGGTCTATTGATATGACTACAAAATCCATACTCTCTCACATGCCACACTCCCAAAGCACCAGTGATAGTATCTTATCAGAGAATTACAGACAAAAGATTAAAATCAAGACCATTACATCAACCTTACAGAAATGGTCTGCTTCTTTATTGCTAAATTTAAGAAAAAGCCTTTTTTTCCCCCTGATTTGAAACAAGATTTACACTTACAGGTATGTCCCTGTAATAATCCCACATCTAGTTTGCTGTGATTTTAAGGAACTGGTCTAATGAGTCAAAAGTAACAGATCCCCAACTCTTACTCCTTCCTGCCCCTTCCATACCCATTGGCCAAATGCCAAGGAGTCTCTGTTGGACCCTAAGTCTTCATGCCATGAAGACCAGTACTGAACCAACAGCACAAAACCACCACCAACACTGTGGAATTCCCAGAACTGTTCCACATATGAGGACTGCGTACCGGCTGAGTATCCCTAACTTGAACACTGAAAATCTAAAACACTCCAAACCCAGCACTTGACCTTTTGTGACAGGTCCGAGTCAAAACACAGGTGAAGTAAAACTATTGAATCAGAACATCTTCAAGCTCTGTAGATAAGGTACACATGAAAAACAAATGAATTTCATGCCCAGACCTGTGTCCCATGCCTCATTATGACACCCTCATTATGGATATGCAAATACTCCAAAATTTCAATACATCCAAAATCAGAAACACTACTGGTCCAGAGCTTTTTGGATTAGGGATACTCAGCCTGTATCTGATATCTGGCTCATGCTTTTCATTTTCTTATTTTCTCTTATTTCTTCTTATTTACACCTAGCACATGATACACTGATTCTTCCAAACCAATTCATATCCCTCTGCGGGACTCTTCGCATGACTGTGGTAGCTGAACTCCAGGGGAAAAGAGAGCTACTAAAATAGCGATGAACCCTATCCAACTGGCACAGTATACAAAGAATTTTATATACATACATATGCATACATACATACAAGTATATATATATATTTTTTTAAATGGTTGGGAGAAAATCAGAATAATATTTCTTCACACATGAAAACTATATGACTGAAATTCCAGTGTTCTTAAAGTTTTATCCAGTATTATCTTTGGCTGCTTTTTATGCTACAATGGTGGAGTTGAAGAGATGTCACAGACACCACAGGGTCTGAAAACCCTAACATGTGTATTATCTTATACTTTCTACAAAAAGTATGTCAACCCCTTATCTTGACCTGTTAGCCTTTCTAGTGAAAAGAGCAGGAACAAATCCAGATACAATGCACTGTATAAGTACAAAATGATACTACTTAAGCCCACCACAGGTAAGGCCATCAATGATTACTCCATCCCAAGGACAGCACCACTGATGCCCATTTTTAACTGAGTAACGGGAGAAGTTTTAGGCCTCTCATTTCTTCGCCAACATTTACAATTGGAGGTGCTGATGCTGTAGCTTCCAATTTCCTGACTAACAGCATTATTATTTTAAATTGATGAACTGTAAATAGCAGGCCACTTTATGCCTCTTCCTGACTCATACTGGAACCACAGAATACAACATGATAAATTTTCTTTGGGTTTCTTGGCAAGAAGCTATATATATGTAATTTTGGCCTTCGGTCTCCCAATTTCCTTCATTTATCAGAAATGGTGACAAAAAGGCTCTAATTACATAATTTAATCACGAAGAACTAGGTGTGATGGAAGACTTCACAACTGCTATCTGTTAGCAGCAAAACAAAACAGATAGGCTCCTCTCCCTGGATGGGCAGGAGATTTATCAATAGACAAAAGGATGCAAAAAGCCAATAGATAAGGTGTAATTAAAGATCAGACCTATAAATTTTACACTGACATAAATTTAACCAGATTTGCAGGTGCAAATTCAGGATTTAAAATCAGAGCATGACTATGAAAAGTATACCTTCCAGCTCTATACGCAACAACATTGCATAATACACAGATTTATTATTGAAAGTAATATACCATGCCTCCGAGCTCTTTCATACACAGAATCTAAATTATTCAGTGCCAAAGCAATTTCTAGAGTGGTCTAGCTTCTTCAAGTATTTCTCCTTAATTAGCTATAATCCATTTTCCATGTATTTTTTGAGCTTCACAAAATCTCTTGCAGCAATAACAATCCACCTGTCATATTTTTTTGGTCGTCCTAGAAAGCATAATCCAGAAAGGTCTCTAAATGCAAGAAAATTATTTCCAATGCAAGGCTGAACATAATTGTAACAGTGCTTTCTCATCTCACTCTCTCCAAGGCTGAAAGTAAAAATAAGAATGAAAAGAATCTGGTATAGGGCTACAAGAAATTCAACCGACAAGACTTGAGTTGAAAATAAAGTTCTATTTCTTGGATCAGAGCACAGGAGACCATTTTTGCTATCTGATGTCGTATTTAGCAGACACTTAAGCAACTGAAGACTAGCTTTGTGTCTTCTGCTTTCTGAAATTACAGCCACTAAAAAGACAGAAGAGATAAACTGTGTCTTTCAGAAAGTTACCAGTTTGGTACAGTAACTCATGAACTCAGGTACATGCACTAGGAGGGTGGAAAGCAGTGGGAAAGATCCATTAGGGGCTTAACAATCTTAAGGAAATACAGACTTGACTCTCAACTTTTAAGGAACTCCAAAGAGTTCGAACGCACAGAGCAGAGTTGAGAATGTGGTGAAAGCTGTGTTTCCCAGTGATCAGATACAATGTCCCCTGGCATAGATGGCCATCAAGACAGCTCAACTCACCAGAGTAGGCCCAGTACGGGTCGCCTGAGGCCTTGCGCCTGCGGATCTGCGCTGAGCTGCCGTGTCTGTTCTCCTGCAGGGCCCCGACGTAGCCTTCTGTCACCGCTGGAAGAGAGGGAGACCACAGTGAGACGAAGCCCTCACTCACTGGACACAGGAGGGGTGACAGATACACACACCAGGTGACTTTGCAGAAGCACAGACCGTCCTTGGGGATGACTAAATAGAACCTCCTTATTTTACTGGAAAAAAAAAAAGCCTACAGGAGAATCCAGAGATTACTATGGTTATTATCTTATTCACTCTGCCAAACACCACCAGGCAGTAGATGTGCAGTGAGCAAACTGAAGCTTCAAAAAGTGAAGTCATCTTCACTCGCCCGAGGTCAGACAGCTGGTAGAACTAGAAGTTGTGGTTTTGGTTCCAAATGTATGAATAAGCAAGTGTGCAAGGTGCAATGGCCCTCAAGCCTGGTTTATGTTTTCGGAGCTAGGGGGTCACTGTATCTGTTCTACTGGGGGGCTATAGGAATTCGGGCTCAGACACACATGGCAGAGCAAGCAGCAGATCTGTGAACATAGCAGGAGTATCTCTACATCAAAGTCAGGGCCTCTGCCACCCAAACACAATGGAGTGTGAGACTAAGACGCTGTTCCTGGTGAGTACCCATCTTCCACTCCCCTGGCCCATAAGCAGTCACCTGTGTTACTGAGGACCACAAACAAGAAACGCTCCAAGTCTGATGATGCTCAGAAAAGAAACACTGCTTAATGATGCATTTTTGAAAGCACAGAATGAATCTGATCCACCCAGCAAAAGCAAAAATACTCTCTTCAGCTGCCTGTCACAGCCTTCCAAGCCTTTCCCCTTTCCTCCCCTTCACGGATGCAAATTTCCCTTGAGAGCCCACACCTGAATGCACTGATGTGTACAAAGACAAATACCACAGGGTGCCCAGAATCCAAAATGAAATGGGATTATGCTCCAACAATACTCACCACCTGACTATGTTAATATTTAAATGCACCCAAACAAAATCAAGTGCGCCTTTCAAAAGCCAAGAAAATGGTTTGGGAACCTGTATATTCAATTTAACATGAGGACAGCAACAGAGGGACACAAATTCTTTCTCTATTCCAAATTAGTCAATAATAAAAATATTAATACCATCTCCATAGCACTAGCTTCGATGAGAATGTGACAGTCTTGTAGAAAAATTAGGAAATGGAATATATTTCACACTTACACTGCAATTGCAAAGATTAGCTTTAACACAAGGAAAAATGCTTGAAAAAGATACTCCATAGAGATGAGACCTTTAGAGGAAAATGAGAATTTAAGAAACTCCAAGCAACACATCTAAAAAAGTAAACCTAGTATTAGTTGTATCTGCTCGTTGGTCCTGAACTCCAAGTCAAACTGTAAGTCAGAGCTCATTTTTAAAGATGCCTATCATCCAATCCATCGTACAATTTTGCAGATGAGCCAAAGTACCAGTAAGTTGACCATTCTCTGCTTCTAGCAATCAAAAATAAAGTTTCCCATCTCCTACTCTCCTAATGTATTTTTTTTCTCCACTAAGGCATGCTAAATAATTAATTGTAAGGCTTATTTATCTTCTGTGTATTTAATATGCCTGTTTACTGTACTTCAATAATTGTTCCCAAATAATCCTTTCTTTTTGTATCAAGACAATGTATAAAACAGCATCCTGACCACATGAATTTGCTTCCATTTGCCTGCAGGTGTGTCTCTAGTTTCCATATCTATAAAGGCAGCCCGAAATATCAACCTCATAGGATTGCTATGAGGACAACAGGTCCTAGTATGGGCAGAACACGTATCTCAGTACTGGACCCAACAGCCCAAACTAATATGTGAATTTAATCACAGTAGCTGACCTCTGTCTCGGTGCAGAAGGCTCTGTAGCCAGTTAACTGATTAGGCTGCAAACTGTGTAATCAACGGACTGATAGATTGACTAAGCTGTGGTCTATGAAGTTGTTTTCCACATCTTGCCTATTTCTCTACAAACACTGTCTGGTCACATTATTGGCTGAAATCTCAGAATCTGCCTCTGATTCTAGGGGTCTGCTTGTTTCACATTTGTTCTTGTTTTGCTCAAATAAAGTCTACAGAACGTAGTTGGTCTAAGGGATGGATGTTCCTTCTCACACTACACAGTGGGTATGTGCTGTATATTATGTTTCTGAATTAGTTACACCACACTCCAACTAATCTGCATAAGATGAACTGCACAGCCACCTCGCCCCCACCATCTCTGTCAGCTCTAGGGATGGGTCTTGATTGACTTCAGATCCTGCTTTCCTTCGGAGGGTGTTATGATGTCACCCCAAATCCAGACGGGGTGGTTGGGCATCACAAGGACCAAGTATGAGATCAGGAGAGTAGCTAAAAAATGGAACCAGGGCAGAGGACTCAAAACCTATGGGCTCATTCTGTTGATACTGAAGCCCTGGAAAAAGCAAATTTGAAGCCAGCCCTATCGTAACATTCACAGGTACATGCTTACACAAACCTCTCACCTGTTGAAGCTCCATTTTCTTTTTTTTTTTTTTCATTTTTATTATTCATATGTGCATACAAGGCTTGGTTCATTTCTCCCCCTGCCCCCCACCCCCTCCCTTACACCCACTCCGCCCCCCCCCTCCCCCCTCAATACCCAGCAGAAACTATTTTGCCCTTATTTCTAATTTTGTTGTAGAGAAGTATAAGCCAATAATAGGAAGGAACAAGGTTTTTGCTGGTTGAGAAGGATAGCTATACAGGCATTGACTCACATTGATTTCCTGTGCGTGGGTGTTACCTTCTAGGTTAATTCTTTTTGATCTAACCTTTTCTCTAGTCCTGTCCCCTTTTCCTATTGGCCTCAGTTGCTTTAAGGTATCTGCTTTAGTTTCTCTGCGTTAAGGGCAACAATGCTAGCTAGTTTTTTAGGGTCTTACCTATCCTCACCCCTCCCTTTGTGCTCTCGCTTTTATCATGTGCTCAAAGTCCAATCCCATTGTTGTGTTTGCCCTTGATCTAATGTCCACATATGAGGGAGAACATACGATTTTTGGTCTTTTGGCCAGGCTAACCTCACTCAGAATGATGTTCTCCAATTCCATCCATTTTACCAGCGAATGATAACATTTCGATCTTCTTCATGGCTGCATAAAAATTCCATTGTGTATAGATACCACATTTTCTTAATCCATTCGTCAGTGCTGGGGCATCTTGGCTGTTTCCATAACTTGGCTATTGTGAATAGTGCCGCAATAAACATGGATGTGCAGGTGCCTCTGGAGTAACAGTCTTTTGGGTATATCCCAAGAGTGGTATTGCTGGATCAAATGGTAGATCGATGTCTAGCTTTTTAAGTAGCCTCCAAATTTTTTCCAGAGTTGTTACTAGTTTACATTCCCACCAACAGTGTAAGAGGGTTCCTTTTTCCCCGCATCCTCGCCAACACCTGTTGTTGGTGGTGTTGCTGATGATGGCTATTCTAACAGGGTGAGGTGGAATCTTAGTGTGGTTTTAATTTGCATTCCTTTATTGCTAGAGATGGTGAGCATTTTTCATGTGTTTTCTGGCCATTTGAATTTCTTCTTTTGAGAAAGTTCTGTTTAGTTCACTTGCCCATTTCTTTATTGGTTCATTAGTTTTGGGAGAATTTAGTTTTTTAAGTTCCCTGTATATTCTGGTTATCAGTCCTTTGTCTGATGTATAGTTGGCAAATATTTTCTCCCACTCTGTGGGTGTTCTCTTCAGTTTAGAGACCATTTCTTTTGATGAACAGAAGCTTTTTAGTTTTATGAGGTCCCATTTATCTATGCTATCTCTTAGTTGCTGTGCTGCTGGGGTTCATTTGAAAAGTTCTTACCTATACCTACAAACTCCAGAGTATTTCCTACTCTTTCTTGTATCAACTTAAGAGTTTGGGGTCTGATATTAAGATCCTTGATCCATTTTGAGTTAATCTTGGTATAGGGTGATATACATGGATCTAGTTTCAGTTTTTTGCAGACTGCTAACCAGTTTTCCCAGCAGTTTTTGTTGAAGAGGCTGCTATTTCTCCATCGTATATTTTTAGCTCCTTTGTCAAAGATAAGTTGCTCATAGTTGTGTGGCTTCATATCTGGATCCTCTATTCTGTTCCACTGGTCTTCGTGTCTGTTTTTGTGCCAGTACCATGCTGTTTTTATTGTTATTGCTTTGTAATATAGTTTGAAGTCAGGTATTGTGATACCTCCTGCATTGTTCTTTTGGCTGAATATTGCCTTGGCTATTCGTGGCCTCTTGTGTTTCCATATAAATTTCACAGTAGATTTTTCAATCTCTTTAATGAATGTCATTGGAATTTTGATGGGAATTGCATTAAACATGTAGATTACTTTGGGGAGTATTGACATTTTTACTATGTTGATTCTACCAATCCATGTGAAGCTCCATTTTCTGTCTCCTGCATGCCAGATGCCCTAATGACACTGATGGTGGCCTTTCAACAGTCACTTCAACTTCTGACCATCAATGTCTCCATCAAGAAAAGGCCACTGTTGGAGCAAAGCCCTGACTTCAAACCCCAGTACCCACCCCCGCCCAAAAAAAGTACTCCAGGTGATGTGGTTTGGGTTTTGGCTTTTGTAAGAGACCGGGTCTTCCCAGGTAGCCCAGGCTAGCCCCAAATTCCTGCCCAGTCCTCCAGCTATCTGGGATTATAGGCATAAATGCCATTGTACCTGGTTCCCCATGGTTCTACTCTGAAACCAGAGATAAGAAGTGACGAAAACTTCCCTAGTGAGCAGAACCCAGGTCCCTTTCATCTCCGACAGTCCCAGCTCTGGCCCTCGTCATCTATAACTTCAAAGCTATTCTTCACACAAGGGACAGCCTGGCCAAGCAGAAAAGGGAAGCCTGCTGCACAATGAATAAGAGTGTGGTACCAACTTAAGAATTTAGAGCAAATTCCATAATTTAGACAAACAGATCTGAACTGAGCCAGAACAGACTTCTAACCAAAAAGTGCAGGAACAGACCAGAGAGAAAATGAGAGAAAGAATGGGTTTTCTTCAAGCATGCCCTGCACAAAGGATATAAGAAAG